AACAAGTGCCACGCTAGTAGTAACAGGTGCCTTACTAGTAGTAACAAGAAGCTACTAGTAACAAGTGCCGCGCTAGTAGTAACAGGTGCCTTACTAGTAGTAACAAGAAGCTATTAGAAACAATCCACATTGCTGGTCAAGAAACCTAGGGCCAAGCAGACCTTCTGACTCTGCTCTGCCAGCTCTCGCGTTGGCGACAAAAAGAGTGCCTGCCACGTCCCACCCGTGCTGCGATGGCTTGTGGTTTGAACTCTTGGGGTTGACAATCAACAGCTCTCAGCCACCCATGACCTACTAATTTGTCAGCCCTCCTCCTTACATCTCCGTGCCTATTACATCTTTGATCACAAAGGAACAATTAAGGATGATCGTTCAGGCACGAAACCACACATAATTAAGCATAAGCATGCATAAGCATAAGTCATAAGAATCAAAAGGGTTGAAAAAATGACCATCAGGTAGATTAAGCGTTTAATAGGACAGCTCAACCATTCCCTTGACCAGCTTGATAATCAAACCGTGACCACTGACCTCACCCATGAAAATGGCGGGGCTCGCCAAACGGCCTGTGGCTCGCGGGAAGTGGTGTCAACACTCTGCAGGGCGCCCAAGCAAAAGACACAAGTCTTTCCTGGCCAACGAGCACGTCGTCCGGCGTCGCCAAAAAAAACGACGGGAACGGTCTTCCCAAGCTGGGTTAGGGGAATGGTTCGGAATGGTGTCATCACTCTGAGCGAACGAACTGCCTATATTTGGCAACTCTTAAGATGTGATTTAAAGAGCCGAGGACTATGACTAAGCGCTGGGTTGGCTATAGCTATAGAGTGGGCATATTGTGTTTGAGAATTCAACAATGTTTTGAAAGTGCACAGTGCACACGGGACAAGCAAACACAAGAGAACCAAACGTAATCTGCAACCCTCTTGCGACTCATTGCGCACGTACTCACTTGCAGATTAACATGGAACCCCAAAACCATTTTGGTTGTAGAGGAAAATGATCTTGCACCGGTCAATTCTCAGGTTTGCTGGGGGATATCCACATAGCCAGGGGGGCACAAGCATGAACAATCCAAGCGTAAGTCCGGCACGGTCGGTCTTCATCATGTCTGCCACACCTGTCCTGTTCCACTCTGTGATTGTACAATGACATCTCGACCCTTCAGGATGGGAAGAATGGCACGCTGCTGCACTGCAGATGGTCGTTCGAAACCTCAATGACTGCGGGGGGGACACTCACATCATCGGGGACGCAACGTGCATACTAGCAACCTCAATGAGGCCCCCCAAACAACTATGCCATAGACTGCACTAACATGATGAGCATGTAAGGGTTTCATAGTGGTGTCGTGTTTTGATTCACTTCTGGGAGGGGCCAGAAGTGATGACTAGCCAAGTGACCATATGCATAAACGCCTCGAAGCAAGTCCTCTTTCAAGCCCAACGCATCGAATGTCGGCAAAACCTCCACGTCCTGAGGCAGCAATGTTGACTCATGACCCAAACACGCGTAGCAGGCGTAGCACCTCCCGCCCTCCCCCCTGGCTCTTATTCCTTGTCTGGCAACCATTTGTATGCATGGCGGGAGATGTGGAAACCATGGAATGGCTTGGCCTCTGTCTGCTAGCAAGGTAACACACCAAAGTACATGCATCGTTCATTGCATACAGCACTTTTAGTATCCGATTCAACTTCCACAGACAACAAAAAAAACAACCATAAAACTCATGCACGTCCGGTGTCCCATCAAAACACTTGCGACCACCATGATGAGCAATTAGAAGCTCCCTTTTTTCGACCACTTCCTGCCCTCCCAGCTCTTCTCTTCTCCTCGGAGGTTTCGAAAATCAGACCTTCATCGTTGGGACCTTTCGACATGGCCTCAAACGGCGCTGGGCGCCCGTGACTGACACGGACCGAGTCGAGCAGCGCGGGACCCGGTTGCCCCGCACCAAAGCCAAGTGCGAGAAAAAATGCCAGCCACACACTGCACACTCATGTCATCTCATGTCGCAACTGATGACCTGTTCTTGACTTCGAGGCGCTATGTCAGACCAAAAGATCTGGGAGGCCTCATTAACTGTTTCAATGGCTCAACTGCAAAACCTTTCTGTCAAGGCACGGATGCAAAGGCTTCGTGTGACCAGGGCGTTTGTCGCTGTGGACAGAAGCGGCGAAGATCGGGTCTCGAAGTAGCAATGCTTCCGAAGTGTGGGCCTATTGACAATAATAAGGGTCTTCAGCGAAGGACCTATGAACTTCAAAAAGATTCTCAAAAGGGCTGTGGGATGCTGTGGGCCTATGAGTCTGGTGAAGAACTCCTCTCAAGTCCGCAACCTATGAATAAATGTCGTCATGGTGCAATAGGGTAAGCTTGGCCCCAAGCACCAATTGCTCCCATCACCTGAAAAAAAAACTGGGGAAAGCTGGACTGCACTGTGAACCAGGAGGGGCCCCCGGACCGCATGGGCCAAGGCGAACCCCAAATCCAAGCCAAGGCCGAACATCTTCCCCTCCGGACCCGCATCTTCGCAGAAGGCCACTGGGAAGCACCCTCTCACCATTTTGCCACACTTCGAGCCGGTGCTTTGCAGCTTCGGCCAAGTCAGAAGACTGGCAGGACGCCAATGCGGACACACCGCCTTTCCAAGCCTAGCAGCTAGGCAGCTCCATAGATTTGCACAAAGCATGACAAAACTTTTAGTTGAGACGAGGTGTACTAGTTAGGCGTTAGAAGGTGGATGAATATTTATGAGACCACCCAACCACTTGGTGTTGATTTATGTTGTCTCTTGCTTGGAGAGCCTCTCTGCTTCAGCACACCAATCTACAACTGCGCGTTCGGCTAAATATTTCAAAAACACTGTGTGAAAACGCCTGTTGCTTCACCTAACATGCATGTGCAACATCAATGAAGCTTTCATCCTGCCTGTTTCTGCACGGTTCGAGTTTAAATAATTTCTGCAACATTCATGGGCATCTCGTCGATCTGAATGGAGTAAAACCTCACGAGGCCAAGCGTGAGCTCACCTGGCTCGCCCTGGGACCTCTCCCGTCTCACTCAAGACCAAGCGGCTGCTCAATATCGCGCAAAATACGAATGTCATCATTCCTTACGGGTGGAAAGCAGGAACTTGCAAGTCGGATCAAGTGAGACTGGCTCTACTCGTGGGCCAAAAACCGAATGCACTTCTTGCTGCAGAAGTCCTCTCTCTGTCGGGATGTTATTGCTTTTTTTGAGCCCTTAGTGCCTTCGTACGATCCCCGAAGCAGTGCCATCCAATGCCCTGATTGTGTTGCCGTCAGTCAAAGCATTTCATAGCATTAGCGGCACACCACGGCACACATGAACTGACAGGGTTGTACTCTCTCTCCCTCTCTCTCCGAGCATGGCTCTCCGCTGCCTCACAAAGGCGCTCAACTGCCAAAACGGTGGGGAGTTACTCACAGTTCAATCCCTTGACAGGCCTTGACATGCAAATCTGTAAAACGTGTACAATTCTCCTCCTGCTGTTTGTCCTGATCCTTGCGCTGATGTCCGCCACTCCTACAGCAGGCCTGGGGAATTAGCTGATGAGTCCCACCAATGTCCAGCTGTGCCAGGCGTCTTCACGAAGTTGATGGCCACACCTTTTCGTCCGAAACGGCCGCTGCGGCCGATGCGGTGGATGTAGAGCTCTCGGTTGTTGGGCAGGTCGTAACAGATCACCAGGGACACCTTGCGTCTGGGATGTTGCGACGCTTTCAGCAGGTGTCTTGGATAATTGGATGGAGTTAAAGTGTTGGTGGACGGGGTTTCCTCCTGGGCACTGGTCATTGACCTTCATTGCCTGGAGCGCCTGTGATAAGAGGACAACTTTTCCATCTGATCAAAACGATTGCCAAACTGTATAGATACATGATGTAGGTCGCGCTGTTCCACCCAGGAAATAGGAATGACCTGTGTGAACGAGAGACACAGGTTCTAGCCAGCATCCATTTTGCTGGATGCTCTTGCCTGAGTCACCACTTGGCGGATGGAGGCGCTTATATAAACTGGTGTCAAGGCAACCACGCAACCACCGCCAGTGGGTGGAGTACCCAAAGAGGAAAGGAGTCGGAGATGTCACGGTGGAGTCCTCAGCGGGTGACCAGTTAGCAACTTATAGTAGTTTTTGTGTGTTTTTTGTGTAATCGCAAATGCTTTGAATCAACTCCCCAAAATCGATGCATGAGGGAACAACTGGCAACTAGTGACGATCATGCTGACAACTTGTGACTGTAGTGCTGACTATATAATTAGTGTTAGGAAGGAGTCATTCTTCGACACTCCTCACTCATCCATACTCAGTTCCTCCCCACGGTCTCGGTGTGGATCACACCAAAACCATCCCAAACCAAAGCAAAGTCACGCCAGATGTTGATCCAATCTGGGCTTTGGCGAGTTGCAACTACACTCCGTGGACCAGCTCTGCACACCGAGACTGGCCGACCCCGCCCATGCCGGCCTTGGCCTGCGCCAGCACGCTGCGGCCGCACGAGTCGGTGGTGATCAAGACTCGGTTGGTGCCAGAGCGGAACCTCAAGGACAGGGAGCTCCAGGAAGCCAACGTGTGCACCGGTGAAGAAGTTGGGGCGATCTTTGGATCGTCCAGCATGTTCTAACTATCCAATACTTGAGAATCATCCGGTGACTTCATGAGCCTTCCTCTCTCAGGTGAATTCAGCCCCTTCTTTGGCCAGGGCGCTGCTGCCTGATGGCATCGCGCTCCTTTTGAGGCATGTCACCGTGGATGGACGCCACCTGGATGTGGCGTGATGGACTCATCAACAAACGGTTCATCAACACATCAACACGGTGGCCCTCACTGACCGAACCAACTCAATATAATTCATGAACACATCGGGCCTTATCTGGCCCTCACTGACCCTCTCAATGAATCTGATCCAAGCGACTTTGAAGTTGGCGTCGCGCATCTTTTGGCTCAACCAGTCCACCTCTCAGATCAGCTGAGCTGGCTGGTCGAGGCAGGCAGGGTTAGGGATTTGGGGCATCCAGTCTTCCCCAATGGAAATAATAGTATCTCATTCCTCCCTGTATTCCAGGCCTGTCAGTCTGCACGCCCATCCAATTCAGTGAGCTTGCATGCAATTCAGTGAGCTTAAACAATCGAACCCGTTGAAGTCATCTTCATCTCAAGGTTTAAGGAACTGAATCCAAGTGTGACTGCAAATGGCTGACTCGTACCAACTCTTGCGCCTTGTGCTTGGTGTTGCAGAAAATCACCGCCTGCATTTGTCGAATCTAAGGCTGTGGAAAACAAAATTCCCAGCACTATGTATAAATGGCAGGAGGTTGATCTGTCCGTTCAGTCTACGTCTACGTGAATCTGGCAATGTCGCATCCGCCTCTTCAAAATTACAACTGACATACAGTTGATGCCGCCCTGGCTGGTGCATCTAGAGCCAACTTCCCCTCACTCAATGACATGAGGCGATCTTTGTGTTTAGTGATTGTGAATCTGGCCATGTTGCATCCGTCTCTTCAACTTTTGTACTGACGTAGATGCGGTGCCCTGGCTAGAGCATTGAGGAAGGGCCCACCTGTGTGATGGTGAGAGTATCGTACCTTAGTTAAGCGGCCAGAATCTTCGTGGAACCAAAACACTGTCCACCAACAGAAGTCTATGGTCTAATACTATTGCTACTTGGAACTGGTCTATGCCGCGCATACCCTGTACTCTGCACAAACAGTTGTCCATCGCCAAAAATCTATACCAAATAATAACGGCCTGAACCCACCTCATCCTTGGTTGATGAAGCCAAAGGATATCTGCACCAAGGTGCAAGTCGCACAAGGTGTCGAACTTCCACCTTAATGCCCAGCGCAGCGACATGCAGCAGGCATATCCTTTAACAAGATAGCAGTGTGCTTTCACGTCAAACACACATTGAAATACTCAAAGGATCCAAGCGGCTGTTCTCGCTCCACTGCAACGAAGAACTGCTTGATGTGTTCAAGCGTCAACCTGAAAGCCCAGGGCGTGCAATGCCCAGATATGGACGTGTTCCAAGTGGAACTACAGTGGAAGCCTCTCCATTCCACTGGACATGCCAAGCCCAAACCGCATGCAAGTCCAAAGAAGGCAAGCGAGCAACAAGAAAGCAAGCGAGCGAGGAGACACAAAAAATGGATCGAGTTTTCTCTTCTTAGAAGGTGTATATATATATATATATGTATGTATATAAGTATATATAATACGTGGCCAAGCTGTCGGGTGCTTTCTTTCAACCAAATGGCTGCCGAGCACAGCAAATATGAAACCAAAATGGAATCTCGGAAAGAATCATCATTGCGATTTGGTAGAACTCTCAACCTATGATAAACAACAACATACATGATACATGCATAAAAGTAACCCAATCAAGTTTCTCCCAGGGCCACACCTTATCTGCCTTATCTGGCACAGGTTCTTGCCACTCGGGACAAGTTAACCCGAGCAGCCCCGAGCATCTAGCAGAACTGCTTGATCCCTTCAAACACCGCCGCCAAGCTGCAGGATGTGGTGTTCATAATATGTGTTCATGTTCTTGGTGCTTTTCGAGCACCCTGCCTTGCCCCCAAGGCCATTGTCTTCAGGCAACCCAAAAATGTCCATTTCAACCCACCGAGCTGCTCATCGCGCTTCACCAGGACGCGGAAAGGATTGTTCCTCAGGTGCAGCTGTGTCTGGTTGATGACAATCGTAGGCCCGTCCCACAGGGCTCCCTCCCACAGGCGCCACAGGGCTTCAGAGCGACTGTTTTTCCTCCTGAGGAGGAACAGAATCAAACAGGTCAAATATGATCAAATTAGAAAGACCTTGCAAAGCCCAAACCGGCAGGCTGATGGTTTTAGATAGCTGGTTTTAGCTTTAATCCAATCCAATGCGGATGGAACCTTTAGGATGGCTCGAGGTCCTGCCGCCACACATGCTTGAAAATGCCAACAAATCTAGGATTCCCTCTGGATATTTCCTGCCAATGCTACGCATTACTGTGGTGTCTGTACTGTCTATGCTCCTGGAGACTTTCAGGTGTGACGCAAAAAGCTTCTGATGGGGAGCCTCTGTGTGCGTAAGGAAGTTTCGCACCAAACGAAACCTGCCAGGAAGCATGAACTTGTGTGTCATCTCCAGAACCTCATGCCTTGGTGCTGAGGCGCTCTGATGTTGCAAGTGAAAGCGCGTTGCAGTAGTCTTCACCTGATGGGATTAACTGGAAATAGAATAACTCAATGTTTAGTAGTGATTTCCCCTTGTTAAAATTAAGCGGGGAACATGTTTTTCATGAGAGTGCATCTTGATGCGTCTTGTGTCCAAAGTGACTGAATACAGCCCAGGGACGGCATTGTTGCAGATAGCAGCACAACCTGAAGCCGCAACTGCTTTAGAATCAAGATCTTCATTATGTTGCGCTCATTTAGCTCAAACACCAGTGCCTCCATACTGACTGGCACTTGCCATACAAAAGCATAGGTTCACCAGAGTGTTCACCAGTTGTCACCAGTGGTACTGTGTCTCGCTTAGAGCCCAAAGGAAACACCAATGAACAGCTTAAATGTTCGTCGCCCAACTGCAAACTGTACCGAAAACGCCCGGGCGGCCAGCCCTTCGAGGCCTGAGTGGATGGTGGCAAGTATCTGTAGACGTCGAACACCTGCCCCTTAAACCCCCTGCGCAGAATGGCGGGTGGCATCCGGCACCGCTGAGTGGTTGAAGGAAACATTGCGAGGTGGTCAAGATGAACAAAGATCCTGAAACATGCATCATCATGCATGATGGCGGCATGGTCTCCCGCTGAATGAATCAGCACATGGTTGGGTTCGTCAACGAAGAGCCTCAACAACTCCGACTGCAACGTGCCAAGTGCACCAAATTTAATCATTGAAGACTACATCAACCAGTGTTAATGAAACCATCCTAGACTCTAGACTCCATCGCCGCACAAGTGAATGATATGCGGCCAGCCACGATTCAGAATGAATGACGCATACAAATTGAACAAACTACGTCACTAAGTACATTTTCCCGTACAGTCAGTCAGCCCAACACGGAACAACGCTGAGTCTCGCCCTGCCACCAACTGCCTATTGAGCAATTCATCTGCTTCGTCCAGTGCCAGCATCTTGATGTGACGGGTGCTCAAATGCCGCTGCCTGGATGCAAAAGAAGGTGAACTTGCACATGCCATGCAATGGTATCCAACCCGAGGCTCAACATGCCTCAACCAAACTTCAAGATCTAAATAGATGGCCAAGTCGACCATGTTTGGTATTTGCGTAGCAGTGATGCCAGCCAAGCCGCTGAATCATGTGGAAGACTCGGCCAGGAGTTCCAGAAACGATCTGCACACCTGCATCAAAGGTGTGGATGTCATCTGAGACGCGCGTGCCACCAATGCACGCGTGCACTTGGACATTCAGGTAATCACCTGAGCGCATGCTTCAAGGGCATTCGCCAATTCATGAATCAGTCACTTTGTTCATGACTGGAACCCCTGCCCGCCCCTGCCCCATCGCTACACTACATTACATGAACGTGTCTATTTTTGCTGTTATTGCGTGTCTCTGTGCCCTACTCTTCCGTAACGTCTCTGCCTTCAATATCAAGAAACCAATGTTGGGTTTTGTTTTAAGGTTTGCCGTGTGTGTGCGTTATACTGAATGTATGAATGGCCAGCAGGCCTTTTCTCGCAAACAAATGATTGCAGAAAGAAAAACGACCGCATCGCAGAAGCAACACATGCCTCCACGGGGCGATGCTATGATGTCAAAGCATGTTGGTCTATAAAGGCGACTCTCTCTGTACATATCTAAAGTCACAAACAATCACAGAGTCGATCCACACATTGCTTGTGGCGAGACACCCAGGGCCAAGCAAAGCTTCTGACTCTGCTCTGCCAGCTCTCGTGCCGGCGACAAAAGGAGCGCCTTTAGTGCTGGCATAGCTTGTAGCGTACGGCGTACGATCAGCGGTCAGGTCAGGGGGGGTACAACTGGCATTCCTTGCATTGATAGCCGTCCTCGTTAGAATTACTAAGAAACGATTATTACACCGGCCCGCAGAAGTCAAAGCAATTTCAGAAACCACGCCAGTTCCACATGAGACGCCGCGCATTCAGGAAGTCAAACAAGTCAATGCAAAAACATGTAGATCACCATCAGGACGCAGCGATAAAACTATGTTTGTTTCTATCGTTTAATCTTACTTGAACGCCTCAGAAAACTGTATTCCAGCATGTGGACGCACATCCAACAATGACCAGGAAACGAAGGAATTGGTATGTTTCTTGACTGAGTTCACCATGGGACGCCGTATGATCCACTCCACCAAGTGACGGTTCCCCAAAGCACTGATACTAATCCATGTGCATGCTCCAGTGTGGCTTCGTGATGGTTGTGGTTTGATCAGTGGCTGACTTGAGCATGTGTCTTGAATCCCTACACAACCACAGCAACCGACTCTGTCGAGGATTTGTGGCAGCAGCCTGATTCAGGATTCCTTGCCGCGGCCTGAAAGATCTAAATCAGGCTGCGGCAAGGAATCCTGAATCTGCTGCTGCTGCTGCTGTGGTAAAAAAAGGGTTCAAGACACATGCATGCTCAAGTAAGCAAACGGTCAAGCCACGACCATCAAATGGATTTTGCAATGTTCCCTTTCCTATGCAGCTGCCTTCGATGGCTGAGCCATGTACTGCAAAGACCTGTGCTTGCCATATATATATAGGTCTGCAGCCATTGGAGAGCAGGAAACGAAGGGGTGGCTTGGACGAGGTACCGGACGAGGTGGCGGACGAGGTACCAAAGTACATCCGCCACAGCTCCGCCATGACATGTCTCCACTCTTTTGATGCAGCCAAGCAGCAGCCAAAGACAAGCAGCAGCAGCCAAGCAGCCAAGCAGCAGCCAAGCAGCAGCAGCAGACAAGAAGCAGCAGACAAGAAGCAGCAGACAAGAAGCAGCTGCAGCAGACAAGCAGCAGCAGCAGCAGACAAGCAGCAGTAAGGCAACAGACAAGCAGCAGCAGCAACAAACAAGCAGCAGCAGCAACAGACAAGCAGCAGCAGCAGCAGCCGCAGCGGACAAGCAGCAAACAAGCAGCAGCCAGGCAGCAGCAGCCAGGCAGCAGCAGCAGCAGCAGACAAGAAGCAGCAGACAAGCAGCAGCAGCCAGGCAGCAGCAGCTGCAGCAGACAAGCAGCAGCAGACAAGCAGCAGCAGACAAGCAGCAGCAGACAAGCAGCAGCTGCAGCAGACAAGCAGCAGCCAAGCAGCAGACGAGCAGCAGCAGCAGCAGACAAGCAGCAGCAGCAGACAAGCAGCAGCAGCAGCAGACAAGCAGCAGCAGCAACAGACAAGCAGCAGCAGCAACAAACAAGCAGCAGCAGCAACAGACAAGCAGCAGCAGCAACAGACAAGCAGCAGCAGCTGCTGCAGCAGCAGCCGCAGCAGACAAGCAGCAAACAAGCAGCAGCCAGGCAGCAGCAGTAGCAGCAGGCTTCAATGCGCACAAACCCAGGCTGCAAAGCACACACAGGTACCACTTCCTCTACTTGAAGTAAGAACACCAACAGCGCTCGCTTTGTCACAACCAGTTTGCAACCTAGCGGCGGCTTTATTGGATTTCTGGTGTGCACTATGTGCATGGAAAAGTCATCTTCTGAGAAAAGGTCTATCTGCTAAACACCAGCAGGACGCAACTTTGCATCGACTTCCAAAAATCTTTCCCCAAGCTGGGACGCACAATTTATCCAAACGCATCGACTTTCACATCTTGGAGTACGTATTAGTACATTCTTCGATCACCAACAAAACTGAGGATCTTCGTTCGCCTGACACCCAACGATACGTATAATAAGTATCAAACGGATACAGTAGTTCAACCATTCCCTAAAACCAGTGACCACTGACCTCACCCACGAAAACGGCGGGTGGGACTCGCCAAACGGCCTGTGGCTCGCGGGAAGTGGTGTCAACATGCTGCAGGGCAGCCAAGCAAAAGACCAAAGTCTTTCCTGGCCAACGAGGAAGCACACGGCGTCGCATAAATCCACATGGGACATGCTGGAAATGGTGGTCCCCAACAGGTCTGAGCGACCAAGAGAGCCAATGCGTGGCATGTCTTGAGGACTGTTTGAACGGGTTGGCTTGGTTGGCACCATGTTTGAGAATGTTGGAACAAAGTGCTAAGAAAGGCGAAAGGCAGCAACCAGCACCGCCGCCTTCTTTCTGCAATCATCATCTATCATCTTCTTATGGCCCTTCATTCTTCATCTTGCACACATGTCCCTGTAGCCATGTCCGAAACTGGAGGGATGCACAAGCATTGTAGAAAGACCCAAGATGATCCAAGCGTAAGTCCGGCACGGTCGGTCTTCATCATGTCTGCCACACCTGTCCTGTTCCACTCTGTGATTGTACAATGACATCTCGACCCTTCAGGATGGGAAGAATGGCACGCTGCTGCACTGCAGATGGTCGTTCGAAACCTCAATGACTGCGGTGGGACACTCGCATCATCGGGGACGCAACGTGCATACTAGCAAGCTCAATGAGGCCTCATAGACTGCACAAGCTGATGGACATGCAAGGGTTTCATGGTGTTTCGTGTCTTGATCCATCTCGGGGAGGCCAAGTGACCATATGCATAAACACCTCGAAGCAAGTTCTCTTTCAAGCCCAACGCGTCAAAGGTCCGCACAACCTCCACGTCCTGAGGCAGCAATTTGCGACTCATGACATCCAGACACGGACTCCTAGTGGGTGACGTTTTCGGGGGCAGCCAGGAACCCATGTGCGGCACCCAGGAGAAAAAGGGACATGATTAATGATTCGCAGCTTGGCACCTCTCTCCCTCTCCCTCTCTCTCTTGGCAACCACTTGCATTTAGATGTGGAAGTCATGGAATTGGTGGACTTTGCACTCCTAAAGTGGTGATGACCTCAGAAGACGCAGTTGAAGTGGCCACTTCTGAGTCATCTTCATTGCTGTCACAGACCAACATCTGGCAACCATTGCAAACCAACATGTGGCAAAGGTATGCAAGGCTCACTGTTCCATCCTGCCATATCCTGCCATATCCTGCCCTTCCAGTTGGCTCTTCTCCTCGGAGGTTTCGAACATCAGACCTTCATCGTTCGGACCGTTCGCCATGGCCTCAGACGGCGCCCGTGACTGATGCGGACCGGGCAAAATGGGACCAAGTCACAGCAACCTTGCCGCGTAGACCGGAGTGGAGTGAGAGTAGACTTGCGACAACTCAAAACAAGGAAGTGCTCCAAAACATATGAAAAGTTGCGCTCCAAGAGAACAGCCAAACACGAACGTGACGCACAACCTGTCCTTGATTTCGAGGGGGTTGGCTTTACAAATCGTCGCAACTTCTGGTAGTTCAACAACCTGCATGTCAAACCAAGAGATTCTCCAAGAATACAGTGCAGTATCCAAACGCTCTGGATCTCCGCTCGCATTAGGCCTCATCCTTGAATGCCTCCTCATCACTCGGCACCGGCGCCTGCCGTAGCTAAATTGGGTCAATTACAGTCGAGCCTGAACTATGTTTCCTCTCTGAATGCACACGCACTTCCAGAAATACAAATAGCAGCTAGCCAAAACCATTGGAAGCCTCCGACTATTTGACCCAGCCTCAGCCACCAGCTCCACATTCGCCGGCTTTACCTTCACCTGCCGTCCTGCGTGAAGAAGATTGGGGCTACCAGTAGGCTCCAGCCCCGTTCTGGCCCAGAAACCAGGGCTGAAACAACCAGCAAGAAAAGGGCATCGCTCAAGGTTGCAGGTGCCATGTGCCCAGAAAAATGGAACCCTCAGGTCAGGACCTACCCCCGTTTTTCGGGGCTCCTGAGTGCAAAGGTCAATCCCACAGGTCCTGGGTCAAGCAAACCCATATGCATCCGTATGCCCATCTTCACTCATGAATGTTGCATTGTTACAGGAATGTTGTAGTCCTCCGCGTTACCCATGCAATGTTCATGGCAAAACCAAAAAAATTAGTCCCCTGCAGGGGACTTGCTGCAAAGTCTCCTGGAATAGAATATCTTGAAACCTCCTCTGCACGAGACAGGTCGCCTGTCATCCCCTCGCTGTGCCGCACCACGCTACGCGTCGCCGCCCCCCCAACGCTCACCGTCAGACAGCGTGGCGTCGTATCTCAAGCTCTTAACCTCAGACTGGGTCGTTCTGTCTAAGCTCCCGTGAGTTCCCTCATGGAAACACGACCCATGGCTGGCGCTGCAAGTTCGGGAAGCCATTCAGGTCCATGGCATCACAAGACAGGGCTCCAAGACCGGTCATTTGAAGCAGTAGACAGTATGAAAGCATGTGTGCCTGTGATTTTTCATCAGTCCTGATATGCTACTCTGCTTGTCCTGGCGGTTCAGCACCCCAAAAGGCAAGACCTTCAAGGTGCTGACCAATGGAGCCTACTGTATGCTCCCTTTGACCGGTATAGTTGGGGACCTCTTATCATTCTTTCTGCCCACCAATCTGGTTCATCTGGTCTTCAGCTGGCGCCAGCGGAGCTTAGCGGCTTAGCGCCAGACGTCCAAGCGACCACACTGGCCCATGCAGTCCTGTCGAGGGTCTCTGCACACCAAAGCAGGCTGCGGGGTCCAAACTTGGTTGGGCAGCCAGTAGTTCAACCAACATCTAAACAGCCCCCAAAAATACCAGAATAGACCGGTACGTACTAGTTCACCGCAACAAAATGCAGAAAGTGATCTGTGCAGTCGGAGGCGAGTTATAGACTTCTTGACCATAATGCTGTGGCGAGACAGCACTCCTGGTCATTGCATCTCATCTGGTTTGGACCATTCAGCTGGAATGTAACACAGCAGCTGAATGGTAGGCTGAGCTGAGCTCTTGGTTGTGAAATGTTGTGAATTCTTGATATTCTTGTGAGAGCGTTTCTTGAGCTGCGTGCAACCCTTAAGGCGGCTCTTGTGCTTCAAAAAACATTCTAAGCAAATTGCCAATCTTCCCACAGACTTCGCCAGCAGAATTCGGCCGCTGGCGAACCCCTCAGTGAATGGCCCACTCTGTCCCACCCACATGGGCATGTCAGCTCGGTCATTCAGCTTGGAGTCAAGCCCCTGCAGCTTCACTTGGCAGCCAGTCACCACCTCATTGCGCCGCCCCGCCTCCGATCGGAAGAATAGCCCTGTCAAACGTAACCTACCCGACGTAACCCATGCAAGCTACCAGACTTTCACGTCTATATATCACACTGGGCACCCCAAATTACGACTGCCTTGTGTAACCTGCAGGGAGACGCTGCGCCACTGCGCGGGGCCTTGAAAAGATTCTCCATCTTGATGCTTTTGTCGCCTCTGCCACCCTGCCAAGGGCGCCCACTTGGAGTTTCGGTGTGTTCCAATTGAGAAGAGGGTGAGTTCCGAAGTTCCGGTCAGGAGGAAAGGAAAGAACGGAAAGAAGGTTTATAATGGGAACATGGGAAGCGCTTCGGATCATCCAGGGCTTCGGATCATCCGTTTCGATGGTTAGCCAACAGGCAACGGATGGTGCGGGCCGAATGCCAAGGATACAACCGTGCAATGCAGTGACAGGCAACACTCCCCGTGAAAAGGAGAGCTTCATCAATGCCACCCTTTCCCTTCACAGGCCATGACGTGAAATTGCTTTGACATCTGGGAATCTGGGAAGGCTTGTATAGATCCAGCAAACCACTGGGTGGTAGTCGGAACAACCTTCCCAGAAACAGCATTTCCCAGTCGTCGGCCCCCTTCGTCGCCAGGGTTGGAAGATGTTTGAAGTGAAAGTGGCACCCCTGAAAGCCAGGGAGACATTCTTCGCGGTTAGAGCTGGAAAGTAATCGGTCCGATTCTGAAACTAGGTTCTGAAACTGGGGTTCTGAAACTAGGGTTCTGAAACTTGGATTCTGAAACTGGCATTCTGAAACTGGGTTCTGAAAGTAGGATTCTGAAACTAGGGTTCTGAAACTTGGATTCTGAAACTGGTATTCTGAAACTGGGGCTCTGAAAGTAGGATTCTGAAACTGGGGTTCTGAAACTTGTATTCTGAGACTGGAAAGTCAGATTCTACAACTGGTATTCTGAAACTGGGATTCTGCAACTAGTGATCTCCACATCATGCGATAGCGTGTGTGCCTGTGACATCATCTTCGAAGCGCATCCAAACCAACGTGATTAGCCCCCCACCCAACCACCCCGCCCCCGCAACCCCCCCTTGTCCCCATCGTGTGGTCTCGACATCACGCCAACCCCCTCATCATTCACAAAGTTGCGGAATCCTAGCAAGGGAATCCACGGTCCACAATGTTACGGAATCCTAGTTGCGGAACGCCAGTTGCGGAATCCCAGTTGTGGAATCTTAGTTACGGAATCCTAGTTGCGGAACGCCAGTTGCGGAATCCCAGTTGCGGAACCCTGACAGTTGCGGAATCCTAGTTTCGGAATCCTAGTTGCGGAATCCGACCAAATAGTTGCGGAATCCTAGTTGCGGAATCCTGCGCAGTTGCGGAACTCGACTTTATCCCATTCTTCGCAGTTCGCTGCTTTGGAAGGGTGTTGGTTTCCCCACGGTCACCGCGGTTGATTCGCTGCCTCAACGGTCACCACGAAACGTTTGGTCTCTTTGTTGTACCTGACGCTGACAACACGGCTCGACATGCCCTGCGAAGCCAACCTACCAAAACAAGTTACATCCCAATTCAATCACGTTGAAGAGGACAGCGGCAGTTCATGTATGGGAAATATAGGGGAAAAATTGTCTCTGACTTCCCTGTTCATGAATCGGAGCATACGGCCATTCCCAAGTACAGGTAGAATTATGGAAAATCTACCCAATCAATTCCTTCCCCCCTTGTCGAAGGACAGGACAAAACTTCCCGACTGGCGCCAGCTGACGTGCCAAGTTCATCCAATTTTTCTGGGACCTACAGTACGTAGGTCTTGAACCCACTAGTTTCAACCTTTTGTGCCTCACTTCGAGTAGTTGGACAAGAGCCTCGGGGGTACAAAGCAGGGTCGAACCGGGGACCATGCACACGAGGAGAGCAGCCCACCTCGCTACTCGGTACAGATTAACTGTGCACCTCACTGAGTCGTGATTAAAACATATTATATAAAGCAACACCAACAGCACCGCGTCCAAAAGACACAGCAAGTGACCAAGCACAAAACTTGTCAGAACGGATTAGGATTCCTCCACTAGTGTTAGTTAACTTGGTGCATCTCTCCTAAATCGCATGCTATCCGACCCATCCGACCACAAAACCACGCCCATCCCACCGTTTCACCGTCGCCATGAGTCCATTCAGTGACTCATCGGCCTGACGTGATCCGGATCTCTTCGGAGACCCGACCCTGAACACGTGTGACGAGACCCCGACTGATGACCGAGTGCTTCTTGCACCAAACCATCATTACCGGGAAAAGAAAGAGGAACTGCCATGTCAGTTTGACTCACTGCCCAAGTTGGAAGATGCACATGCGACCCCTGGCGGTCAACAAATTCACACAGTCAGAAAACTGGCCAGTTCCGACCAGATTGCATCATGCGCAAAGAAAACCAAAAGAGCAGGCGGATTGCAAAACAAATGGCTGACGTGAAGCAAAAGAAGCGGATTGCCAAATCTCCAACGAACCCATGTTATGGAATATGTGTCCAGTAATTGGACCCTGTTTTCAACACGCCCTATAGGGCCTATGGTAGGCCACTTCCTTTCCATCGCATGTACTGTCGGATTCTGCGGGATGTCGATCCACTCCTTCAAGTTCAGGAGGGCCACAGACTTGTCCTTCCAATCCTTCCAGTCCTTTTGTGTCAACTGTTTCTATGGGTGCAAACTGCGTATGCATGATCAACGCACCTTGTTAGAGGACTTAGACGCAAATTACTGGAGGATCCGGTAATATGGCATCAGGCTGCGTGCTTTTGTTACCTGCAGCTGGGATCGGAGCCTGCGACGGGAGAATTCAACGGCAATTAAGGCTGACATTTCTGTGTTGACTGAGGGTGGGACCAGCGCGGATCGATTCAGAATTGAATGCTGCCAGTGTCCTTGTCAAAGTCGAATTCGGGAAGCTTTTTCTCCTCTTTATCACCAGACCTCAAACTGCACTCAATCGATCTCAATCGAACAGCTCTTCACCTCTTGACCTGAACAGTTCCCCTTTTTTAAAGCGAGGGTGTCGCGAAGAACAAGTGCAACCTCCATGCTACGAGGGCAGTTGATGGGGAGGCACCTGATCTCCACTAAGGGGTGGATGAAGGACACCCCTGATCCCAACATCCTGGTATCACTGGTGACATGTTGACCCACATATGAAACAGTCCCACGCATCCGTTGCTGAACTTCATAAATGAAGTGCCACATGCCACATCGTGCCACAGAACCAATTGAAACATCCAAAATTGAGGAGCAATCCACATCATCTACAAGTCTGATCAGGTCTATGATCAGGTCTGGTCATTCAGAAGCTAGGCCACTGTGTTGTTCTTTGTGTTTTTTTTGCTGGCTCCGGCTCGCCCAATGGGTCATCCGCCTGAGCAAGGATTGAGGTCAGCAAGCGTGGCTGTGGCTTGGGGATGGATAAGCTGTACTTAACTTTTGTTGGCTGGTCGAGCCGTTCAATAGCACGGTGATGTCGAGTCTACGTACGCCTCCCACGGCGTACGTCGTCAATGTTGCTCATGTTTGGGCCCCAAAGGGCGGTGGTGGTCAACGCGCACTGGGTAAACCTCTGAACCTCTGTGTTTCCACCGCACTTTGGGCAGCACCCAACCTTTAGTGACAGCACCTTCCACATGAAACCCTCCTGAGTCCTAAGTGAGATCGGGGTGTGCAACAGCAGAACAATTGGTGACCCTACCAATGTAGACGGTTGACAGCTGAGAACAATTACTAAGGCACCCCAAATTGAGATGTAAAACTCTGCTGGTAACGAGGAGGCTTTATGCCATTTTGGCCCTCCCAGTACTGTCACTGCTTACCCAGTTGCACGCATGGCCTCAGCGCGGCTGCGCTGCCGCCCGCGCGTGCGGCTCCGGCGAGATCGACGCGTTGGGCCAGCTTCTCCCTGGACAGCTTGGATGAACAGTGGCGGAGAGGAATTTTGGGGGCGAGCATTCCACCATTTCCTCACCACTGGAGAAGGATTCTAACTTCTAACATATTCTAACCATCTTGAGTTGGTTGCAGCTTCTCTGCACCTTCTCTGCCATGATCTCAAACCCTGTACTATACGTGAGGCCGTTCAAACACCCGCTCCTCACCGATGCGTTCCGGCCTGCGACGGGTTGTGCCGCTTTCGGCTCTGCCTTCGACTCCGACGCTTCGGGCGAAGGCGCAGGCGCGGAGCCTGCGGAGCCGGCGAGGCCAATGAAATCCGAGTGGGTCACGAAGGGACCAACCAAGCACTTCTCTCATTTCCAAGAAGTGGCTTTAGCATGCTTTATATAGACGTGATGAAAGGGAGATGCACCCTTCACAAACAGATGCATGTAGTAGCATGTAGTGATCATCTGCATTGGTGCGAGGCGGCGAGGCCAATAAATTAAGTTCAAGTTCCACATATTTCTACTATATAAATATTATGTCACAACTTCAATCCCTTTCCCTGATGCCCTTGTATAGAAGAGTTGGACTGGATTTGTGTAGTGGGACATGAAATTGACTGGACTGGACCGAGGCTCGAAACTAACCTCCCTGTTTTCACCTTATAAGAAATCGGGGATTAAGATTCATATTGGATCCAGTGTGATCCAGTCCTGTTCCCCATCTGAAAAAACAACATGTCCTGACCGCAGCTCCGAGGTCGAAAACGCCATGTCGACTCACAGCACCACACCATAAATTCACACACATCTGGGTAGATGCGTCATCAAAAGAGACACCTAGCGGCTAGGTTTTCCTGCAGCAAGGTGCCCATTGGATGTCCAAATTTAACTAGGAACCTGCACTCTTAGTAGATCCGGATTCATGTTTCATTCACTTGAATATTGCTCAAATCATCTTAAATCAATGTCAAGAGAGGCCGCATTCTCATATCATAATTCATACGTAGTTACAATAAACCGCGTCGGCGTCACCTTCCAAAAGGTATCGAAGCATGATTGGCCATCCTTAAAACCAAGTCTTAGCAAGGCCCTCGACCGAGTGATCCTGCTTTAGCCGGCGCAGCTGGGTCCGGTACTTCGTTGAAGGTTACTCAACGGAACTGATCCGGCGATGGCAAGACTTCGCAAGCCTGAAATAGTGAAACTTGCTGGTAGACCTATGGTACTAAGTACTAACCAATGCATCTAGCCTTTGGCCATTTCCTCCTGCTGCCCTCATCCCAGTCAGTTTTCGCCCTGCCGCTGCCTGAGCTGGGCTGCACGTTCGGCTCCAGCTCCGCGACCAGCTTGAAGAACGAGAACTTGACGGGAGAGAAGTGGAAGGACGGCACGGAGCAACCTGGGAGAAGAAGAAGCTGGAGCAAACGAAACAGCGTTAGCACGAAAGCAGGACCTGCAGGACAGCCACACGAACATGCCGGTATGCTCCTCACATCTTCTCGTGGTTGTTTCCAAGGGGCTATCTGATAGCGACTCGGCTTCAACCAAGGCAAGTCCTTCTTCCACTCCGCACCACCTTAGAATTGGGAGCAACACGAAATCGAAAGCGGACGCATCGCTATCCGAAGCATTGTATCCAAGACACAGCCAGCCACCTGCACGCAGTCGTCCCATCGTTGGGCCACGACCAGCGCCAAAGTGTGATCACCACCGTTCTCAATACGCACGCATTTTCCCAAGAGCGATCGTGGCATGGCTGGCACAGGAAGTGCCAAAGCTTGAACAAAAATCCAAAAATTTGTCTGCATGCTCTAGTGGAATGCCGAAAATGAATATTAGGTGTAGAAATGTGTAGAGTCCAAGATATGTATACCATAGTATACCAGTATACTTCTATGTTTATAGAGGAAGGAACATACCTTGCCACGGTTTTCTGCGGGCATCTGTGACAAACTCTCTCTCTGTTTGAGTCTTGGCCCATCCTCCATGCGCATCCTTATATATGGCCCTACGTCGTAAATGGCTACAGTTGCAGCTCGAGAATAGGGTAGAGTTTAAAGCGCTCCGTGAAATGGAATTAAAGAGGGGAATTTATGTTCCCCTGGGTTCCCTAGCTCTCCCTAGGTCTATACTTGCGAGCCATTTCAACAAGTGAACACATGTCGCAAAGTCCCTGACAATTGATAAAAGCTCGCCAAACTCTTGCGATATCTAAATAAAGCACCAAACAACTGCTGATTTCTGCGTGCGCACGGCTCTGCGCTGCATGGGAAATTGCACATGGAGCTTGGAACAACAAACTGGTTTTGTCAAATAACAAATTTGGTTGTGGTGTCTTGTTTCGAGTTTTGGTTGCTTGTGTGGGCTTGGTACGTTCTTTGCCATACTTGTTGTATTCAATCGAATTTCCGAGCCCCCACCTGGCCCACCCTAGAACAAATTAGCCCTCCCCGCGGAAAAATTAGCCCTCCCTGCACAAATATGCAGCTCCGCCCTTTCCATCAGCGCATGCGCGCCGATGATCATCGCATGCGCGACAAACGACGGCGGTTTCGCCATCAGCTCTTCTGATGTTTCCGCCTGGCAGGTGCAAGAAACCACCAAAATGGCCAGGGAAAGGCCAACTGATGTCACTGATGGGCCAAATGCTCAGGAGTCAGTCCCGAGTCCCAGCTACCTGGTAAGTCATAGACCCAAGTATTTACTCAGTGGGGTCTTGCGCAACCCTCTCCGAAGCATTCGATAAAACATGGTCCACCTCCCATTTCCTCTTGCAATTGCAGCTCCTCTTTCTCATGACTATAGTCTCGCTCTGGCAGCATCAAGCTGCGAGGTACACTCCCTGAAATCATGGAAGCGTATGGCACAATGGCACCCCCCTCTACCCGGTAGTCGCAAATCGGGGTCATCCAACATCAGGGCCCGTGAAACATATTGAAACCAATTGCGATTCCAATGCATTCCAAAATGTATAATATATAATATATATATATATAACATATTCCAATGCATGCCATGATTCGTTTGGGGCCAGTGTGCCCTCTGGCCATGAAGACGGACCCCGAGATCCGGCGCCGGGCCGTGCGCCTCTTCGCTTTCGGCTGCGACGGTTTCAACCTGGCTATTTTGTTTTCGTCGATGAGGGCAACTCAGTTCTTTGGGGTCAGGGGGTAAGGTCCAATAAGAAAAAGACAATCAGGACAGACCTGTGAATTTGGGTGGTGACAAAGGTCTCCCAAATCTGGTGGCAGTACTAACTACAGTACATTGAATCATTTGACTACCTGGTTATAATAGTGTGGCCACATGTGGCCACTAATTACAGTAAAGGTGCTGCAATACCATTCATTACCATCCTAAATTCTGATTGCATATCGCCAAGCATTTGCTTAGGCCAAAGATCAAGTCCAACTGAGGCTATTGTGAATCAACACCGGCACTAGTGGTGGCTTTCTTTATCCAAAATCCAAGAACTGGACGTTGACAAATTCCTGGATGCTCCTCCCACTGAGAACACCTGGGTTCCCGCACGAGGGCGACTGAGGACGAAGGGAGGGTGATCGGCTTATGCTGGCGCTGCGACCACGGCCTCATTCAAGCAGAAACCGTGTCTCAAACGGGTCAAGCACAGAAACATGATCGAATCATTCAAGGTGCATGCATGCCCTTGGATCATCTTTGAGCATACACGTGCTTGCGGAAAAAAAGTACAGGCTCTTTGTAGGGGTCAGCTTGGCGTCCTCGTAATTCCTGCCGTCAGACTACAAAGCGAGCATGAAACCCCCATTAGGTTGATTGAACGTTATTGAACATCCAACATCCAGGAGAGCTGAACAGCTCAGAATGACTCAGCAAGGGGGATCACAAACAAACAGCCCACAAATATCACCAAAGGAAACCTGCCCTCGTTGTTATTCTTGCTGCGGTTGCTGTTGACCCATCCATGTGGTTCGCAGTACAACAAACCACATGCGACAAATCCATCCCACCTCTCCGCTTCTTCTCCGGTCCCTTGACTTTGGATGCTTCGGCAAGCTCTTTGCCTGCGGATGATCGGGCGGCCAGTGAGAAGGGAGCAGGGGCCATGGGACCTGCTTGTGTGAGCTCTCTTTGTGTGCGTGTTTGACTCTCTGCGATAGGGAAGGGCGTCTGAATTCAGAGGGTTTTGACATGCTGAAGCTTGGAAAACATGCAAGCACTTCTGCGGCTCAAGATGGTTCAAGCGGTTTCGGGTGCACCTCTACTTGAACATGTCATATAACAACAACGTGCTCTTGCCCAGGTTGACATCCTTAAAAAGCTTGAAGGAAAGTCGAAGGTGGCTGGGACAGCATCATTGCCGCAGTTCAGTGGCCTAGAACAGGAACATCTTGAACTTATGGGACTTCAGGCGTTGTGAAAGTAGGCATGAGAGCCATGAGAGACAACACGCTATGAGAGCTATCACCGTGCCCACTTTGCCTTTGCAGTTGCACATGGCAATGACAAGTGACCTTCGACGTCAACATCACAAGCCCAATTCCTACCAGGCCATGTCCCAACGATGTGGGATTCATCCATCTACTTCCCCTTTTCACAGAAGGCAACTCCCTGCCTTTCGATAAACTAGGTTCTTTCTTGGGCCTGACCAAGCGAAATGGACAAACAAAAGGCAGTTTGAAGAAAACATGCTCTTGGGACATGTGACACAGGTTTACACGACAATTTTGCTTGCGAACTTTAGCGCTGACGCAAAGAGAGACACAAAAAAGTTTCCGGGTCCTCTCCCCTACACTTGAGAAGCTGCAAGGTCAATGTTGGGTGCAGGATGCCAATTATTCATGAAGTTTTCTGGACCTTGGGCCTATCTCTTCTTGCATTCACACTCAACACTTGCGTTCCGCAGGCTTCAACGGACAACAGTAGAACTGGTTGGTGCTCATTGTGACAATCCTTTTCAGCTGCCCTTGTTAGGACAACAAATGGAAGCAAGCTGTTGGCAACGCCCAAAAAGGACGCTCTGCCCAATCTTTTCAGGCGCCAGTTTGATCCTCCACCTGGGGAACCAGATCTGCGCCTCGCCTCTGTGACTTCTCATTCTTCCTGGCAGATTTCATGTCTGATGTCTGATGGGTAAAATATCTACGAATCTACTGCATTGTTGTGAGATAGTGGAGGAGCGTCACCCAACAAATCCCACAGTACAATTACAGCATGTTTGCGTGTGTGAGTGCATATGTCAAGGCAAGACTCTAGACTCTGAGAATTAGGAAGTGGCTCAAAGAACCCGAATGAATAGGTCAAAACATGAGAAAAACGCTGTTCACGTGCACAACAGCCACTGGAAGATGAAAAAAACAAAACACAACAAACTACCTCCCTTCGGCGCTGCACGCGAAGGGCTTGTTGAAAGTGGTGACCCCAACCAGGATCCCAAAGGTTTGTCTCAGAAGGGTAGGCCCCATCACTCGGACCAAACTATAGGCTTGGAAGAGCATATGTCAACCCAGAGGTGCCTGCTTTCAAACATTTAAGTGCATGACATGCACCTAAATCTAAAGTACAAACATAAATATACACACATATACAATTATATAATTATGTACACATCACACCATTATCAATAAATCATATAGTAGCTATTAATTGAGTGTACAAACCAGGTGGGGCGTAGGGAAACGCCCAAGCAATTCTTTCAACCGGGAGGTGGTAAAAGAAGTAGGCTAGATCCCTGGATGCACGATCTATATTAATGGGTGTACGAGGAGCGTCGGAAGGACGGGACCCCGTGATGGCAAGTGGAACCGAACGAACGACGTACGGCGACGAGCGAACGAACGGTAGGCACGAAAGGATGCAAAGCGAAAGCGAAAGGGAAGTCGGCCACCGGCCAACGAACCCGGCACCCTGAAGGAAAACTGCGCGGGCGCACAATTTTCCTTGAGCCATGAGCCACGGTCGGCACATGTATTGTACATGTGGTGTGTGAACCGTAGCTACTAGTAGACATGTAGTGAATGCTGTTACATACTAGGGGTTCACAGAAAATGACTCCCCCCTCCCCGTTTTGGGGCAGCATTCCTTTGTACATGCACGAATTACCGCGCCGGGTGGCAGCGGTTTCGACGACCTACGAAGGCTCCGAACTGCTCGGAAGGCTCCTATCTGTCTTAGATGGGACTAAGCACTTTAAATCTGTACGGATGCCAAGCAAGCATAGCGCTTTGAACCACTTTTGTGGTGGCAATGCTTTGGTGAAAATGTCCGCAGCTTGTTCATTCGTATCGATGTACTTAATTTCGACAGATGGGTCGTCGATGCATTCCTTTAAGGAACTGAGGTTTATCTTATGTGTTCGGCTGATGTGTCGTAGCTTAGGGGAAAAGCCCTTCCTTACTACTAGAATCGTGGCTTGGTTATCCTCCTGTATGACGAGGTTAACGTCCCGTCCAAGAAGTTTATCCCATAGCTGTAGCGAAGGTAGTCCTTCTTGATACAGCGATTAGGCCAAGCTTACTACTTCCGATTCTGTAGTGGATCTTGACGTGGAGGTCTGCCGTTTCGACACCCATGCTAGTGGATAGTGGGTGTTAGGGCCCTTAAGTACTAAGTACCCCCCTGAGGTCGACTTCACGTCATGTTGGTCCCCACCAAAGTCGGCGTCCACGAAAAGTTCTAGCCACAGCTAACTAGCATCATCGCCGCAGACGGCGGTTAGTCTATATTCTAGTGAGTGCTGAATGTACTGAATGAGCCGTAGCAGCTTTTTATCGTGCACACGGGTCCACTTCTGTACCTTGGTGGCTAGATCGTTGATCGGCTTAAGTATGTCAGGCCGCGCTAACCTGGCAAGCCAAAGGGCTTTCATCAGGATAGAGCATGCCTTTGGTGCGAGCTCTCCGGGCGACTCCTCATCAGCCGTGGTGAATGTGCCGTCGGCGAGAAATGGCGTCTGGGCTGACTTTATCTTATCAACACCGGCCACCGACTTGTAGAGGTCGATGGTTTGCTGCGCGTAATCTTTCATGTCGAAGATTAGGGCGTCAGCACTACCGCGCAAAGCAGCGGTCTCGGTGTTTCCTGAGTCTGGGACTACCGCGTAGATGTGGTTCCTTCCTAGCATTCTGTAAATAGGTTCGGGTGGTTCAACATTAACAACATTCGTGAGTTCTGACCAGAACTTTTGGTGGTTCTCCCGTGGGCCTGCCAAAGTGAGGTCGTCAACGTATGTGGATAACATTAAACGAGGACCAGAAAACCAGAAGTTACCGGGGAACTCTGGGATTTCTTCGCCACCCATTTTCTTAAGAATGCCCTTCAAATGCTGTTCCCACATCCCTCCTGCGTCGGGATGTCCGTACAGCGCCTTGACGAGAAGGACCACTGGTTGAACAAATTTGTTCTTCCACCACGCGGGTCGAAGTTCAGGTGGTAATTCGATCCAAGTTTTGTACTTGGATTTCAGTGTTGCTTGCACATACGCCTTCACCGCATCCGCGGCGGTGCACAGGTTACCAGGTAGTGACCCGTATGCGAGGCAAGCGTTCAACCCTTGGACCGAAGTCGGGTTTGCGCCCAATTCCTCATAGACGGCTGCTGCGCCATGCTCGTCCTTTGCGCAGTCACCTCGGTAGACAATCCTACCTTTCTTTTTCTGCAACTCTTTTGCCAGCTCGTAAAATTTAATGGAGGCTATGGTCATTAGTTTACCGAAATGGACGGAGACTCCGGAAGCCTTAGCCTCAGCACGGACGTGCTCCTTCTCCCTAACGGATTCATACTCCCAAGTACCTTCGTTAACCAAATCGGCTGCCTCGTCTCTAACCTTTTGCAAGGCTTCAGGATCACTGAGCATCTCGGTACGGCTTAGGAGCTTGGTGACCAAAGCTGCTACCTGATCTTTACCATTATCGGTCTTAGGGATCTGGTAGGCCTCGTGCATAAGAGCACTGATATCCATTAAACTTTCAACCATTTGCCCGACAGTGTCATCTGTCTCAACAGCAATGGCCATAGCGTCGATCCCCGACAGAGCTGACACATGTTTCAGCGTCTGCTCTTTGTCCCTGTGCTCATGTTCATGGGTACATGAAAAACATGGCATGGCTGGGGCATGATGGGAGAAAGACATGCTAGGGTATAGGGCCTTTGCAATTTGGACGGTCATCTGCCTTGGGTAAAATGCAGCACGAGCTGTCTGCGACCCGACCGCTTGGTCATGTTCGTGGGGTTTATGGGTGCATTGGAACTGCGAGAACATGTCGACGATAGCCCTGCTGGTGGTCATGAGGCGCCACCTCTTTTTAATGGGTCTGCCTTTAGTGGATTTCACACCAACAGCACACCCGTCAAATTCGACTGGAACAAACTCGGGGTGGCTATCAAAGAACTGTTTTACGTCTGTGCGTTGCCAACTTTCACACCCTTTAGGCCACTCGAAGGTGACAGTGCCTTCTCGAGCTAAAATAAGCTCTGCAGACTTAGCGAATTCAGCAAATAAACGTTTAGACTCTTTAACCTGAAGTGCATGCCTTTTCATGAAGTTGAGCCCCCCCTTTCATGCGATTTACCCTTTGCCAAGGAGACCCTGATGTGCAAGGGATTGAGGCCCATAAATCAGGAATTTCATCACAGGTGCTTATATGGTGGTGCAACTGTGCTTGCATTTGGGGATCGTCTAGATCAAGGTGCTCTTTTGAAAGGGCAATGTGGGGAATTCCAATCTCCAGAAAAGTCTCGTGCATTTGCGAATCCGAGGCACATGCGAACTCGAACATGCATCGGCCAGGCCGCGCCTTACGCGGTTTCTTCTTCTTCTTCTTAGACTTAGATACTTGAGCTGGTTGTGCTGTCGATGGCATGCCAAACACCGGGACTCCACTCTCTGGGCGAGTGTGGATAAGTTGTGTCCTGTATGTGGTATGTGGCGTGAGCGACAGCCCCGATATTACAGTCGGAGTCGCATCAATGACGTGTGGCTCATCCTCGGTGACACTTTCGGATGAGTCCGTCGGAGGCGCGGTCTCGGGCTCCCGCGGTGGAAGCTCCTCCACGGTGATGCCTTCCTTCCTTTTGGCAAGAAGGTCGCGTCTCTCCTCGTCAACAAGTTTGGCAAAACGTTTCCTGCGTGCGGGCGTGTGGTATCGTGTTTTCTTTTCACACGCTTTGCACCCTGGGGTTTCGCTAAACCGGATGATGCGGTCCAAAGTGATATACACCCCCCTGGTTTTAGGGTCCATGGGAGTTGGTGGTACGGCGTCGGCTCCCTCCAGCCCAAAAGGGATTTCCTTCATGGGGATGTCCGGCATGTCAAGACGTGCAAGATCGTCGAGGACTCCTAAAGAACCTCCCTTCAAATGCGCTAGCTTAACAGAGGCCATTGGAAAACATGGAGGACCATCTTCAACATAAATCTCAGCTTCGGGGACTTCTTGGACATTGATGTGTTCACTAACTTTGTAGTCCATGTAGTCAAGAACACGAACCACATAGCGATACCGAAAACCAGCATCTATTCGCCAACCTAAGAACAAACATGGGGACATGTTAGGTTCTAGGGTGCGTTTAGATACCCGCTTGTCACGGTAGTACATCAGCTGGCCAAATGAATGTCTCATGCCGTCAAAGGGCTTGCGAGTGAGCGCCTCCCATTGTGTCTTTGCGGGTTCCAAGGCTGACGGTCTGTCAAAACTCATGGAAAGACATGCAAAGGGATACGAGTGGGTGTGAAAGGAATATGGCAACCCAGATTGAAGATGGATTGCTCTGCAGCATTCCTTTTCTTCACGGATGTCTCTTTCCATCATGGCGTTATGGGGCCATCTGTTTGGCAAGGACGTTTCCGGAATCAACCCAACTTCATGTGCAGCCTGTTCCAACTCTCCAGCCTCGTCCATCTTAACAAGGACGCGTGTAGCTACCTCGTTAGCCTTCAGGCCTAGAAAATGGCGGAAGTTCTTGGAGTGGGTACTGGCATCGCGCTTGCTCATGGGGTATGCTATTCTAGCACCCGAGTAGGTGTCTCGGACTACATGAAATGCTTTAACCCCACCTACACCTTTGCCGGCGAAGTCCTCTCCTTTTGCCATTATGACGTCGTCGGT